TTTGGAGCTACAAGGGAAAACAGCAATGGAAACTGGTTTTGTTGCCTGTCTTTCTGATTTTAGGTAAATATTCTTGATTCCTTTCCATACATAAATGTTTCTTCTTGGTAAATGTTGCTACCTTTCATATCTCAAGCTGAAAGTAGGACTGCAGGAGGGAGAGAAATTGATAAAGAAGTGATTTAGTGTTTTATTTGATGTTCTTTCTGTGTGAACTGCACTTTGTGTGTTTGGTTTTCTGCTATACTGAATTTTGTCAAATTTGTGTCAGTTTTGTAGCCCTAATGTGTATCTGGCTCCCTGCTTGGGCATCTGAGCACAACAGCTGATTTGGTAAACTTGACGTTTTTCCAGAGGGGATTAGTTGCTGCGTAGGAATTGTTATGATCATTCCACTGAAAGCACTTCTGGATCTCTCTTGCTTATCTCATATTTGGGGGTTTATATATTGGGCATTCGGGATCTCGGTGTGGGAAAGGAGTATGGAAGTCATACAATTAACTTTTTGCTCTTTAAATGGGTCCTAATTAATGTATACTGGAAATAAGTGTTTAAGATGCCACTGGGTTTCTTCTTAAACATTTCTTAGTCAAGCTATTGAGTTCATTTTAGAATGTGGTCTTCAGGTTCTATGATGTGATTTAAAAGAAAGGCTCCTGGAGGTTTTTTTTTTTTAATTAAACTTAGTATCAGAATTTGGATTTTATTTCTTTTGAATTGTGTTGACTTAAAAAAATAATCTGAGTTTGGAGCTGCAAGAATTTTTGAAGGTGTGATTCTACAGCAGTATATAGGTGTGGCCAGAGCCTCTCTGTCTCACAAGGCAGCAGCTGCTGTTTGACTTCCATCAGGTCTCACTTTTGCCTGATGCCAGCCCATGTATTTAGTTGTACTCCATGTTTCAAACAGTTTTACCCTGCTGGGACCCTGGGAAGAGTTGCATTGAGCTCTTTCCTTTTATGGTTTCTGTAACTTCCTACTTTTTTTCCTCACTATAAGTTTTTCAAAATTATTGTTTCAAAGTAGTTTTTATGTATCTTCTTTAGTTATAAAAATAAGTTTATGAATATTGGGAAATAAAATGTGTTCTCTTTCCCTTTCTGTTGTCAAGCTACCTCTGTAATAATATGTCCATATTCTATATAGTTTCAGTGTTGGCAAAGCTTCCAGTTAGATGATGAAATATGTTTCAGATCTATTTTACTAACTGCTCTGGCTGTGCTAAATGCACATCAAAATAATCTGTTACATTTCTGGTTTACATTGTTGTATTCCTGTCCTAGTGAAACATGAGCTTTGAAAGGCACAACAGTGGAAAAATTCAGCTTGAAACCTCTCTTAATCATAGATTTAAGTATGACTGTGTGCATACTGGCAGACTTCTGTTTTGGGCAAGTGCATGTTACTGTGAACTAATAGAGAAATTCACATAAAATACTGCTAAGCTGTAAAAAGCAATGTGAAAAATGTGTAGCAGTGTTCTGACCTTGTAATGATTTACAGCTGGAGGAGCAGAACTGAATATGGAAAAAAAGAACAAATTTCAGCTTCATGCAAGGGGCTTTTTAAAGTTTATTTTTATTTATTTTTGCCTTTCCTCTCTGAGCTGTAGCAGTTCAATACTGTTTGTAGTTTTGTCCCTTACAAACGGACCAGAAATCCCACGTGGGAGACAGAGGTGGCATTGACACTGCAGGGGAGGACTTTCAGCAGGGAAATACTTGGATACAGAGAGACAGTCAGCTCTTCAAAGAGCTTTAGAGAACTGCTCTGTGTGGTACAGGGAGTACAAAAATGAAGGACCAAATTGAGCCTTGTGTGCAAAGGGAGCTGGAGAGGATGAGTGTGTGAAGCAGGACTGGAGAGCTGGGAAGTGGATAAATGAGCACAGCAAGGGAGCATGAAGGCCAAGTACTTGAAATGAGAAGGGAGGGAGAAAAGAAAGAACATCATAAATACATGAGGCATTAATAATATCCAGGGAATGGTAGGAAATAATTGTAGGAAATAATAGTCCAGGAGATGAGGAAATAATTGAGAAGCAACTAAGAGCATGAAAAATACCTCTGTTGTTTCAACAGCCTGGAATACAAAGGGAGGATGTGTTACTTGGGATCCTCATCCCAAAGCTCTGAAAGTGCAGCAATGTTCCAGCTTCTGAGGAGCTTTAACAAGGGCTGAGGAGGACCAGTGTGGCTGGGTGGGATCTTCAGGGTGACTGTGCTGAGCTATGGGAAGGCAGCTCCAGCTGGGATTCATCTCTCCTTGGTCTTGTGTTGTCATTCTTCCCTGTTGTCCCCCTCATCCCTCCTATCCCCATTCCCCCAACTCTGAAATACTTGTTATTTTAATGTATATGCACCTGGTGGAGATATTTAGGAGACTGCAGAGACTGGTGCCTAGTTCATGTAATTCCTTTTTCTATTTAGTTACAGTAAATAGATGACTAATGTGTTTGAGTAGGTAATTTGATTGATTGTCATTATTTTCGTCCAATATGTGTTATTTCCAGTGTGCTAAAAGCAAATACTGCTTATCATGTGTCTTTTCTTTTCACTTGTATAAGCTAAGCATATTCACTGTTCCATAAGTACAAGTTTTACCAGCTATGATATGAATTCTTGATATTCTAATCTCTGAGTTCATTTCTAGTCCACAAAATAGTCTTAAGTTGTACTCATAGCTGCTGTACTGCTTTTTAAATTGCAAACATGTATTGTGGCAGTCCTGCAGGTGTTATTTTTAATATTTTATTCTTAGTGTTCAATGTTATTCTTATTATTCAATGTTATTCTTAATATTCAGCTTTAATTTTAATATTTTAAAGAGTAGATGCTTCTCTGTAAGGTTTAGTGCTTTTCCTTATTCTTAAATTTGTCTGGCAGTGTTATGGTATTTATTCAACTAGCTTGAATAAATGAAATGAGACTTGTTTTCTGCAAACAAGGTATTTGGCCTCAGGAGTCATAGGTACTTGATTTTAAAAGCTGCTGTATGCATCTGTTAGCTTTTGCCCTTAATAGTCTCAGTACAAAAATGGGATCTGTTCAGGGTTTTTGTGGTTAAAACTGCCTTAGATGAAAAAAACTATGACCTTTATTTTGCTTTTAAATCTCCCAACCAAAATTTAGGATCAGAGTTAACTTGGAGTTTTTGCTGTTGGGGTATGGTTTGCCCTGTCTGCTGAAACACCCCTTAGACATGCAAAAATGTCTAAGCTGACTTGAGCTAGAAGACCTCTTGAGTACTTTAACCAGCTCTGTGTGTGTGGCATTAGGGAGCAGTAGCTGTGTTGTTTATGGGTTGCTCTAGAGAGAACAGTTGCAGAAAGCTGGGAGTTGTTGCTGTAGCCTTTTCTGGCTTGGACACTTGGCCAATAGAAGTTACCTGTAATTTGCCATTTGTGCTGTCTGTAGTGCTGTTTGTTTGCAGAGCCCAGTCACTGTTGGATGACATTCTTGGGTTTGGTACTGCAAACCTCTGGTAGGTATTGCCAAGGCTCTGTGGTACTGCCAGGGTTTTAGGCAGGGGCTTGCAATGTCTCACAACCATGTGAGTCTAAGCAAGGAGTTAAGAATTGAATCTGGCAGATAAAGGCTGAAATGGCAGCTGAGCTCCACAATTAGTGTCCAAAGTCAAAATTACAGTTTAATAGTCTCACCAAACACAACTGAAAGCAAAATCTGAAACAGCTTAATGAAAAGTTTCATGTCACTGCACTTGGCAGGTATTGGCCTTGTCAACAGCACTAGCAAGGCTGTGGAAAATGCTTGGGTTCTGGTTTTGGCAGACAAAGAGTAACCACATGAAAATATTTGAAGTGCAATGTATTGTAGTGTAAGAAGGAAGAGTTTGTGTTTATTATTGGCTATGTGTTTGTAAAATCTGTGTGTGTTTTGCTTTGGTTTGCTGTCTTCATTAGTTTTCCTGATCTGTACAACTATTTATTGTGGAACACATTCACCTCTGAAATTGGAAGTGGGAGTCAAGATGGAACTGAGGAACTGACACAGAAGAATTAGTAACGTTTTGCTTTGTAATTTGTTGTCTCATCTTTTCTTTATTTTTTTTTCTCTCTCAAGATAGAAGACTAAGGGGCTAAAAAGATGAACACTTTTCCTCCTCTTTTTCACCTCTAAAGCTTCTGATTAAAATTCCAGAAAACAGAATAGAATAGATGCATTTGTTATTACAAGTGTAGTCTGATAAGATTCATAAATTAGCTGATGCACTCACATTAAGGCAGGGTCATTACAACTCTGGCCTTACATTTAGATATGTTTCAACTTTCATGTACATGTCAGAAGACTTAGCAGTGGTGTTTCTGTTAGTTTCTTCTCTGTGTGAGTTTATGGCATTTCTTTGTGTTTCATATTTTTTTGGATAGCCTCACTTTCATTCAAAGAAATATATTTTGTGGGGGTTTTTTTTGCCTTTTTTTTTTTTTTTTTTTTTTTTTTTTTTTTTTTTTTTTTTTTTTTTTTTTTTTTTTTGATAAGCCAGACTGTTTAAGGTTGACAAGGTGGCAATGTAAGGGCAGGGATTATGAAGGAAAATGAAGGAATAATCCAGTCCTTCAATCTTGACTGCTTTGTTTTCCCAGTGGTTTGTACCACCCTGTCTTTTGCTGATGTCCTTCAATGTCAGTTTTTAAGTTAAAATTATAAGGGACAGCCAGACTTACTGTGGCACTTTTTCTGTGATTCATGCTGAGAGACTGATAGAAAAAGTGGTTTCAAGAAGAATGCAAAACCCAGAGTTGTTCTACATCTGGGTCTGTTCCTGAAGTCTTAGCCAAGCATTGACTTAGCCAAAGAGCTCTTCTGGGCTATGTAAATCAGGAACAAAAAATCTCAATGAAGTTGTTTACTGTTGAGAGACATCCTTTCATAAAACCATAGTCTTTGTGCATAATTACTTAGAAATAATGATAAAAGCCATAATTCTCTATGTCCCTAAAGTCTCCAGAAGGTGCATGGTGTATGTTTTGTGTCTTTCAGTGCATTTAATCCCAGTAACCCCTGTCCGGGAGGATGGGTTGAACGCCAAGAGCCGGAAGCGAATAATGCCGGATTTGCTGACGGAGCCGCCGGCCATCGACCCCGTCTATGAAGCCCAGGTGTACTGCAACGTTCCCACCGTCGCTGAGCGCAGCATGGAGGGTGAGCTTGGGGAGGGCACACCTCAGCGTGCCTGCTGGCTGCTTTGTGCTCTTATGGGCAATGGTAACTCCGTGCATTCACTTTGTTGCTGCTTGGAGAAGGTGGAGCAAATGCCAGCTGGTCACTGGATTACCTTGAATCGTTCAAAACATGCTGCTGCTCTTCCCTTCCCTTTGTATCCTCTTCGTTGCCTTGATTTTTGGAAATTGTTCTGTGTCCAGCCAATAGTCAGGTATAGGCCTAAAACTGAAATGGTTGGGAGGGCTATAGATATTTAATATTTGAATTGTAATTCTTGTTAATGTCAGCTGCATTTCAAACAGTTGACTTGCAATTCAGGAAGAAAAACCCCACAGAAGTAATTAATTTTGGAATTACAAGCCATTAGACATGGTCAGCTAGAAGGCATATTTACATTCCTTACTCCACAGGAGCTGCAGCAAGTTTGAATGAAGTCTTTCATTAGCATATTCTACTAATGGTTATCAAATAAATCACAAACTGGTATATCAGAAAGATCCAGATTAGACATGCTGCAAAATCCATCATTATTATGGGGATCTGAAGAGAGGCATTATGAAAGTGGAATAACCTTATTGTGTTAACAGAGTTCGTTGCTTGAGTTGTGTTTTGTGTGGTTGGTGGACTTCAGATGTACTGTGGAGATATGCGAAGAACCTTATTCTTGTATAACTTGTCTTGCAATCTGAAGTGAAATCTTTCTTGGGTCGGTAAATTGTAATTTCCTAGGAGTGTTTTCTTTGATTGCAATACCAAAGCTATCAAGCTAATCATACCTACTTTCTTTTTTTTATTAAAGAAAGTGGATACAGTTAAATTTTTTATTTCTTGTTTTCCCTTTCTTCACTTTAGGTCATGCCCCTCATTATTTTAAGCTGGTGTCAGTTCAAGTGCTGATTCGACATGGTGATAGGTACCCTCTGTATGCCATTCCCAAGACAAAGAGACCTGACATCGACTGCATGTTGGTGCCCAGCAGGTAAAATCCTTGAAGTTTGTCTTTACTAAGCTCTTTTTTTGCTTGAGAATCATTTTTTCCTCTTCAGGAAACAATTTGTGAATTGAATACCATAGTGTATTGCCATGGTTTAAAAAGCCAATCCCTGGATCAGTGGTGCACAGTATTTTCTTTGAAACAAGAGCTATTACATGTTACCAGTTCAGACCAGAGTAAGTTCTTCATATTTCTTTAAAAAGCAAAAAGCTATTTAGTTGGATATTTAAGTTGCCATTCCTCTTAGATAAATTTCTACATTTTGAAAATGTAAGTGCATTGTTTGAGATGATCTCATCCATTTCAGCTCAGCATGCTTCCCTTCATCTGAGTATAAAAAGGACTTAGGCGGTTCAGCACTACCATAAGTAAATTGATATTTATATTTTATATTATTTTTTTCTTTTACTTTTCAGAAATATAGGATATCAGAATTTTCCCTTAGTGATTTGTGTCAAAATTCAGTAAAAAATGGGAATAGTGCATTTAACTATTAAAAGACAAGTTAGCAGAAAGTCCTACCATTTGCTACTTGACAAGGACTCCTTTCCTGTAGTTACCTCTCTCTGTTTAGATCTGTCACAAGTTAGTTATTTGTGTCTAACTGCCGCTAAAACATCATTTTCCTTTCTGTTTCAGTATAGTGCTTTTGTCTAACATCATGTCTTTGTAGGTTGCTGAAAACTTTTCACACCTGAATCACTTTGAGCTGCAAATATAATCTGAATTGCTTCTTTGTGGCAGAACCTTCCTTTTTTGTTTAGATTCTACTCACTGATGCAGATGAATGATAGTGTACAGCAGTAGAAAAACCCAGTGATGATGTAATTTCTCAACCTCTGCCATAGCTTGTTTGATTAGATGCAAGTACTTTTTAGTAGGATAATGATGATTTTTCAACAGAGGACTTACCAGTGAACGTACTGAATACTTAAAAGAATACTAAGATATGTTAGCAAACCCTCTGGGCAAATCTATTCCTTCATGCTGCTGTCCCCTCAGCAGTGTCAGCTGTGGAGATTCCAGTGGCTGAGGGCTGTCTGTTGTGCTCCTGCAAACATTACTCAGGAAAAGAGGCACAGTAGGTGCACAAAGCAATGTAGATGGACCATAAATACCTTTTTTCAGGATGGCATGGAATCTCCTCTGTCTTTAATTCCACACCAAAAAAACAAGAATGTAATTTCTTGACTCACAAATGGCTTTACTCTGTTGTGCTGGGGGTGTTAATGCCACACTGAAAGTACATTTCACCTTGGTGCCTGGGAGGATCATGGAGTAGATCTTCATGGAAGAAATTTTTAGGCAAGGGCAAGACAAAAGAGATGATCCAGGACAGCCAGCACAGCTTTACTCAGGGCAAATATGCCTGACCAGTGTCATCTACCTGGTGTTCTGCAAGGCTTTCAGGTGGGTCCCTCATGGCATCCTTAACTCCCAGCTGGAGAGATGTGGATTGGAAAGGTGGACTGCTGAGTGGGTGAGGAATTGGCTGAATGGCTGCAGAGGTGATCAGTAGCTCTGTGTCCATGGAGGCCCATGGTGAGTGGTGTCCCTCAGGCTCTGGGACCAGTGCTCTCCAGTCCCTTCATTCCTGACATGGACAGTGGGATTGAGTGCACACTCAGGAAGTTTGGACTGACAAGAAATTTGTGTCCAGCTTGAAAAATGGATCCATGAGAAACTCAAGAGGGTCAAGAAGTTCAAGAGGTTCACGTGGCTCAGGGCAATCCCAGACATGGGCACAGACTGGGAGGAATCACTGAGAACAGCCCTGCAGAGGACTTGGGGGTTCTGGTGGATGAAAAACTGGGCATGAGCCATCTGTGTGCACTGGCAGCCCAAGAGGCCAGACACTGGCTGCTCCTTTTCTGTGTTCACACTTCAGCTTCCAGCAAAATGCCTGTTTTGTCAAGAGGTGTCATCCAGGGGTTTGGTCCAATCTCCCTAAGGAGGAGTTGGATTTCCTTGAGAGGTACCTAGCCCCAGAAGCATTTTGTGCCCACTGCAAACTGAGTAGCTTCTTGAAATTAGATGTGCATTCCTGAGACTGCAGAGAGGAGATCAAACTTCAGTTATCTCTGCCACAGAGTGAAGTGGGAGTTCTTTTCATAAAGAATTAATTTTTCCAAGAAGATGGAAAATGAATTGTCTGCTAACAGCTATGATAACATTTTTAATGACCTGCTGTAAGGGGTGAGATTATTTTCAGCATGAAATACTAAGTAGAGAAATATGATCCACATTTCTATTGGAGTTCCTAAAGGCTCTGATCTTCTGATCTTTCTTAATATCTGTCATGTTAGAGTGTATATGAGAAAGCTTTATTGAAAAGATGTTAACTGTGAGTGTTAGATGAGTAGCTGTGTTTCACAATATTAGTGTGCCACATGGGACCTCAGTTTTGTATTTGTCAGAAAAGCTTTTATAGCTGTTTCAAATTCAGTTTCAGGCAAGGAGTACAACATGAAGGCCCTGGAGTCAGAAAAACTATCCATAGAAGACAAGGAAGTAGTGTGGCTTTGACACAGAATGACCAAGTGGAGCACTTGAGAGGGCACAGACTCTGGGGAGGCCAGAGGGGGAACACTCGTGGCTCACACGGATTTGTGAAGCATTAGAGCATCACTGTGTAAATGACACATCCCTTACCACTCACAGCCACTGAAAGACCTTGTCTCCTCAAGTACAAAATTTATGTAAAAGAGCATCTCTTCTCCTAATTTAGGGCAGAAGAAAGATTAAATGAGTTGGCTCTGCACCATTCTGTCCAGATGTGTTAAAGCTGACCTTACTGAATTAAGCTAGAATTAAGCCATTGTTTTGAGTGGAACATTCATTACTTCAGCATCAGGAAGTTATTTGCTGTGTTTGGCTGTCAGGCTTATATTCCTTTGTGATGTAAATTTAGAGCTTGATTGTAAACGTATTTATATGGGGAGTGTGACAGGGTCTGTAATCACTGCCTTTGAGCTGTGGGTTTCTTGCTGCTGTACATTTGAGCTGGGATGTCTGGTGGAAAGTCTGGCTTGTTGAAGCTTTCTGGACTTACAACATCAGATAAGCAAGCTGCTCACATGCAGGCTGCTCTTATTTGACTTGGCATTCAGCTGATGGAATTCATTAATTAAGTAGATTATGCCACAGCCCTGTGGACTTGTAATGGATATGCAAAGTAGCCTTGAGGTCACGCTTGGGTTTCGTGAATTATGGATTGTGATATATAAGTGTGGAATGAATATAAGCAAATGGATTAAATGCTTTGGAGATTTCTTCCATCTAAAACTTCAATTAATATTATTGTTACCATTTTTATTGTTCTGGATGCAAACTTCCAGAGGGAACCAAATAATGAATACTTTTTTCCTCAAGAAAATTATTCTAATGATGTTATAAAATCTATTCATTGTAGTATTTGCTTATGGGGGAAAGAAATTAATCCCACACTTTTTTTCCTTATGTAGCTCACATTTATAGTGTCAAAAGTAAAAAATATGCAGTGTTTCTTCACTGAGTTTGTATGTGAGAGAGAAGAAACACTTTTTGGAAGATGCTAAAATGATTTCAGAAGACTGCTATGATTTATAGTTAGCTGGGTTAATTAGCATATACTTGAAGACATTTTGAGAGGTGTTGATGGTAATCATAAGAAGCTTAGTAACAAATACTGAAATTTTAGGTTCAATATGCACATGTTTTGAAACTGCCACAAAAACAAGCTGGGAGGTGGGAGATGAGACAAGTATGGTACTGTGAGCTGGAGGGGGTGTGGATCTGACTTGGGGTGAGGTCAAAGTAGGATCCAGACCAGAGTCCGGTGCAGAAACGTCCCCTGAGGCCTCTGCTGACTTTAAGGAGTCAGACAGAGGTGGAGGAGATGGAATTACAGAGCCATGGAATGGTTTGGGCAGGAAGGGACCTCAGAGATCCTCTCATTCCAAGCCCCTGCCATGGGAGCGGTGTGGAGTTTGTTATAAAAATGTATCAGCTATGAGACCTTTATGGATAAATAATCCCCAACTGTGCTACTACTGCCTTAGGCTCTCTTCTGTAGACTACACTGATCTATTGCTGGGTTTAGTGTCTTTTTCCATTTATTTGTTTTCTAAAAAGCACACAGTGTAGTAGTCCTTTGATGTCACACTTTTTTTTTTTTTTGTGTATTTGAACTTCACAGAAAATACATGTTGTTTTTGCTTGAAGTTCTAAAATGATTTTTTGCATTTTAAGTAAAGAGAAAGGGACTTGCTCTTGGGATAGTTTGCTGGCAGAATCTTTTATTGTGTGATTACAGAAAAGTAATGTTTGTGTGTCTGAAGCCTGGTGGGGTCACGTTTACTCAGTAAATGATGCACTGAAGGCTCTGCAACTGCTTGTGAGAAGCTTGGTCCTCTCAGCTTTTGCCATGCATTTTTGTATTAATTCCTCAAGGAAAAGGGAAATTTTATTGAAGGATGCCAGCTCTGTTCCTGGAAGAAATATGTAATACAGTTCAAATAGTTATGCAATATTTCTTTCCATGTACACTGGTTACAGTGTAGCAATAAAAGGTGATATTAAAGCATTTTAAGACCTTTGCAAATATGATATTTAAATGTTGATTAAGGATTTAAATGTTGGTCCATTTTAATGCTAGTGCATGAAAACCAGAGTATTCAATCTGGGATCTATTATTCCAGAGCTTAGGTTGTAAATAACAAAAAGATCAGCTGAATTAATTATTTGAGGGAAAAGAAGCATCCTCAGTTTTGTTACAGATAAAATGTATTCTATTGTACACAAATAAAATCATTAAAAGGCATATTATCAGGTTTTAAATAAGGGAAGCAAATGTTAAAATTGGGAAGTGTGGCTGTTGTTAGTTGGTTTAAATGAAACGCTGTTCCATTTTCTGACAAAATTTGAAATAGTTTTTATATGCTGACCTTTTGCAAATATGGTAGCTTGCCATTGTAAGGCCAGGAAAATTACAGAAGGATACGTCTTTAGTTAATTTTTATTTTCTGATTACTCTTATGGAAATAAAATGTTAAGGATAATTCAGTCTTTAAAACTGTACAACTGAGCAATTTCCTTTGCTTCCTGCTCCAGCAGCCCCAGCAGCCTCAGCCGTGTTGCCTGGATACTCCATCTCCTGCAGCATCTGTAAATTGGCCAATTCAACAGGAGGATTCATATTCTAAAAGAAAAGCCAAGTCTTGGGGTGGGAGGGGGAATGCTTTGTCAGCTGGAAGCCTCAGTGCTGCTGCAGATCTTGCTGCTGAGAAAAATAGGTGTTTGTTTGCCCAGTTGTACAGGGATATCTATTTAACAAGAAGTAACCTTAGAATTTCTATTCAAAAAGATGTCCAACAGTCTATTTCATAATGCACTTCTGCAGGCATGTGCTTATCTTATGCTCACTTTAAATACAGTGTAAGTAAATTGCATCTCCAAGTCTAATATTATAAATATACTGTATTAATACACTGGAATATAAAATAATCATTTATGGTCCCTTCTGTAATTTTATCTTGAAAGTTATTTTATTTTGCCTGCCATTTTTTTTTTTCTGAAAAATCCTTTTGCAAAGTACAGATAAATACTTTTCTTTCTTCTTCCCTTTCTTTCTTCCTACAAGTGATTGCTGGCAGTTTTATCAGCACAGATTTGATTCCATTAGAATTCTTTCAGGCTTTTGTAAGCAAAGCAGCAAAAGAAGCAGAATGGATAATGCAGTTATTTAAGTTTTCTTTCACATGTATTATTAAATAAATGAACAGAGTTTAAGGAAAATTTTGATTGTCGTTTTATTCATGTGTAAAGTTTTATAACATTCAAAATTTAGAAAATTGGTGGTTCAGGCTGTTACCTATGTAATAAGCTTAAAAAGCCATTTGCTAATGGGGGTAATTTAATTTTCTCAACTTAATTCTTCCATTTTTAGATTTCACTGCTGGGCTGTGAAAATAGTGCAATGTATAAAATGTTCTGTTGGAAATTTTCATCTGGCTCTGGAGTAAGCTTCTAATGCATGGTTGTACCACAGGAAGCCTCCACTGCTTGAGAAACATAAACCAGGCTTTGTTCCTTTCTCTGCTTTGCAAATACTAATCTTCAGTTGCCCTGTTAAAATTACAATGTACAGGAGAAGCTGTGGAATTAGAATATCATTAATTGGCTGGTTTTCCTTTAATCTGAAGTAAAATGAAAAAATTAATGTGTTTTTTGATCTCATTGTGCTTTTTGTCTCATTTTGCATTTTTTTCTTATTGGCAGTTGGGACATAATTGTAACATTTTCCTGCCAGGATTATTTTTTTCCTGAAGAGCAATTAGATACTGGAAAATTCAAGTTTTATAAAGTGATATGATCTACCTTTCTATTGACAGACACTGATTCTTATGAGCCCTCCTGTATATGCAGGCTGTGAGCAGAGCACTGCAAGAGGTCCTCTCGTGTGTGAGAGTTTCTAAGTGAGCATGGATGTCTTTGTCCCAGCAAACTTCCATTCCAGACTCTCATTCCTGCTTTAGTGGTGTTATTGCTCCCTCTGGTGTGTCCTGCAAGTCAGGTTTCTTTTTAAGACTGAGATTTTTATATCAAAAATAGTTTATCCTTCTAACAAATGTAAATATGAGCAGTAAACACAAATCCCAGAGTTCTGTAAGAAATCCTTGACATAATTTATTTTATATATATATGTTTTTTAAGCAACATGAAAATAACTGTATTCAAGCTGAACATCCTATTCAGACAAGAACCACCTGGAGCAGAGTTGGGTTGCCAAACAGTTTCTGATGTACTTCTGCACAGAATTAGAGAGGTGACTGTGTAACCTTTGATAACTGCTGACATTTAGCAAGGATGTCTCCACTTTAGTGTAATGCATTTCTGGTGTAGGAATATGATCATGGATTTATTTTTTAAAGGTTCAGATTACCTTTGGGTTGCATTGTGGGATTTTTGGTACATGACATGTAGCTTTCTGTGCAGCAGTACCACAGTGAGCTGAATCCGTAGTGTATTTGAAATTTCCAGTGCAGTGTGGGAGATTTAAGTATTCTTTCACTGACTTGAACTCTGTTTCAGTGAGTTAACTTGAATATTTTAGTGAATATCTCTTCCAGCTGCATTCATTACTTCATGGCAGGGTATCTTACTTGTGTAGTGTCCAGGAGTGTTGGCCTCTTTCTTCCTGGATAAAAGTGCAGCACCCCAAACAATGATTCCAGTTTTAATGGGCCACTGGGTACTGCTTTCCAGTCCCACATAATTGAGATGACAGTATTTGATTTGAGGCTGAAGGAAATAGAAATAAAAGCTGAAATTGTGGTCAGCACTGCACATTATAATATCTGAGAATTCCTTCAAGATCATCTGCTTAAGGTACTGTATTTGAACCCTTTTAGATTGTAACTGGCTTTGGCTGTGCTGTTAAAGAGCATTGGTACTTCAGAAAAGAGAGGTTTGGAGGTTTTTTAAAGGATTATTTAATATCTTTTTTCATTTTAAGTCATAACAGTGTTAGTAACTAAATTCAAAGCAACCCCCAGAAATTGCTCTAAAATACTTAGTGAAAGGTATCATAATTTTAATGTGACAAGACATGTTTCCTTACAGTTCTTTGGTGGAGAGTAAGTAGTTAGATTTCTTTTCCATACTTGAAAAGTCCCGAGCAAGAGCAGATGTTGTCCCAGTGGGAAATAAGCTCACATCATGAAATTTCTGAGGTGACATACTTGGAATACTTGACTCTCTCGAGCTCCTTTCCCATATGCTTTTGGAAGTTTTCCCATTTTGGTTTCCATCTCTGTAGGAAACCTTCTCATCCTCAGCTTGAAGCCTTCGTTAAGCATATGTCCAAAGGGTCTGCAGCCCAAATGGATGGTTCTCTGAGCAGCCTGCCTCACTTCCCCAGCCATTCACTGTGTGAAATGGGAGAGCTTACACAGACAGGTGAGTTCCCCTAGCAGCTCTGTCTCATCCTCTGCTCTGTTAAACACAGTCTTCTTGAATAGGGATCTTCTGATTCTCTTTATGTTGACATAAATGCTTTTTTATGGAAGCTTATCATGTTGGTCATATCCTAAGCTATGCTGGCATATGTAACTCAGCTGTAAAAGTGGCAACAGTTGTAGAAACTGTGCTTTGTCCTATAGCTTGACAGTCCTGTTACACACTGGTCAATCTTGGCATATCTTTTAAATTCTTTTGTAGCAAGTCAGAGCACCTTTCTTTCATGTTGCTTCACACCTCAGAACTCCTCTGTTACCCTTGTGACAAGCAGCCTTGATCAGTCCCTCTTGAGGAAGATCTGGTGCTCTGTTGCTGACGGGGCTGGGATTCAAAGGGACCCTGTGTCCCCTCCAGGAGATGCTGATGTAGCAGACAAACATGGTGCTTGTGTTATGGAAATGCTTCATACATCTGGTGCCTGTCAAATCCTTGTGTGTTCTGGGATCCCTTTGGAAGGAATCCTTGGCCACTGCCAAGCCTTGCAAAGTGGTGTCAGGGGAAAGCAAGGCAGGACACCACCTAAATTGCACAAAGACATGGACTGTGTCACTGAGCTGGCATCTGGGGACTCCTGTGGCATGCAGCAAGGTACATAGAGGTGTTCTAGTGCATAAGAGGTTCATGCCTGTTGCTTTGCTCTTGTGTGAGAGGTGTGGATTCTGGAGTAGAGGTTTTGGCACATGAGAAGGATACACTCCTCCAGCTGGATAAAGGCAGAGCTGTAGCATAAATTATCAAACAATTTAAATGCTCCCTGAAGGAAGATGGAGAAGGAAGCTTGATGGACTTGCTACACCTCACGATTGTTTTGTGAGTTTACACACTAATTTACATTTTGTGTATTTGTGTCCTGACTGCTGGTGCTTTTATTGGCTGCCATAAATTTTCAGGGGCACAGCATTCTCTGCAGGCCTGAAAACCTGACTGGGGTGCAGTCTTGAAAAACTCCTTACTTTTATAATCATGTTAGACCCCACCAGTCTATTTTTTAGTCCAAAGAATTAATATTAAACCACTGAGGATTTAAACAAATTTTATGGAACCAATGTATTTTCTGTATTTCAGGCTAGTTCCTAGAATCTGAGAGATACTGAAGAATAGAAAATTTCTCATGTTTCAGACAGTTTTCTTAACAGTCATCATAACTGAAGTTCAGTTTTGTAAATTTATCAGTAAGGCTACTAGCTGTAATTTTTTTCTGTGTGACTGCAAAGATTCTCATCATGTGTTGTAATTTCTGTCAAAATTCAGGGGTGGTACAACACTTGCGAAATGGACAACTGCTCCGAGAGATTTACATCAACAAACACAAACTGCTCCCTAGTGACTGGACAGCCAAGCAGCTCTACTTGGAGACCACAGGGAAAAGCCGAACCTTGCAGAGTGCACTGGCCCTGCTCTACACCTTTTTGCCAGATTTTGACTGGAAGAAAATTAACATGAGGCACCAGTGGAGCACCATTTTCTGCTCAGGAAGCTGTGACTGTCCCATGAGAAACCACTACCTGGAAGAGGAGCAGCGCAGGCAGTACAGTTTACGGGTGAAAAACAACAATTTGGAGAAAATATACGTGGATATGGCAAAGATTGTGGGTATTCCCACCAGGCAGCTGAGAGCTTCTAACCCAATAGATTCTCTCTTGTGCTATTTCTGTCATAATGTCTCATTTCCATGTACCAAAGCTGGCTGCATTGGTATGGAACACTTCAAAGTAATCAAGAGACACCAGTTGGAGGATGAGAGAGAAAGACAGGAGAAGAAACTTTATTTCTTGTATGCACTATTGGCTACTCATCCTCTCCTCAACCAGACTGTCAATAGGCTGCAGCGTATTGCAGAAGGCAAGAAGGAGGAACTGTTTGTCCTCTACTCTGCACATGATGTCACCTTGTCACCTGTTCTTAGTGCCTTGGGCATTACAGAGGCCAGATTTCCCAGATTTGCTGCCAGATTAGTTTTTGAGCTGTGGCAGGATGGGAAGAGGCCCAAAGAACACTTTATCCGCATCCTGTACAACGGTGCTGATGTCACATTCCAGACCTCGTTTTGCAAGGATCATTATAAACATTCCAGCAAGCCAATGTGCCCACTAGAAAAACTTGTCAACTTTGTCAAGAGGGATATGTTCTTAATTTTTAACAGTACAAACTACTATGATGCATGTCATAGGAGAGCACTGTAGAGAAGGGAGAAGGAAAGGAGGCAGTGTTAACTTATGTCAGTGATCTGTTTTCTGGCAGAGGCACAGTTCAGTTTTCTTCTTGTATTTTCATGTGTGAGTACAGAAGGGTAATGCTTGAAACATTCTTCAAATAGTTTTATTTTCATTCAGGCTGCAGATGGCCTTCAGTAGAAGAACAAATGCCAAGGGTTATGTGTATGTGTACGCTCACAAATGCTGTTAACTGTTGTGATAAACCATGTGGTGAATGTAACCTGGCCCTTGCTTGGTAGAGTGAGAGAGCATAGACTTTGTGTTTCTCTGTTCCAGAGCAATAATTTGATAGCCTAAGTTTAAAGCCAAAACTCCATTTTTTTCTAGCACCATCTCACTGTCACTTTAAGCACTTAATATCAGGGTCATTACGAATTCCAGGTGTCTGCATTAAGGCATTTTAAAGGAATTTTTGAATTTCTTTACTCAGAGGAAGCCTTCTAATATTATGGTCCTTAAAGCAAAGTGCATGTGTTTGTGTGAATACTTCCCTGAGCATGTACAAATGAGCGTGTGCCTTCTGCACCTCACAGACCTAGAAACCCTTGGCTATTGTTGCCAGTGCCAGAGAAGGGTGTACTGGAAAAGGGATACAAAACTCTACTCTCTGATCGCACTTTCAGCACTTTGAATAGTTCAAACACAGTCTAGAAACATGTAAAGGCCTTGTGATGTTAAAATAGATAGCAAACACTAACAGTACCACTAAACCTGAGTGGGAAATTAGAAATCAGTTTTATGGTGAAATGTTGGGCTCTTTCCCATTGTGAACATGTTCAAGCTGCTGTGCTATGGTACAAATCAGTATTTTAGGAATTTGCTATGGTGACTGCTTGAGACAGCTTGACTAAATACTGAGAAAACTTTGTAGTTGAGTTAGTATTTTTATGGACTAGGAAGCTCTTATTTTGTAAGACCAGACTTGTACATATTGTACTGTGTATATTTATAACACAGTAGATTTTTCTTACTTGTTTAGTTTGTAAAGACTTGTGGAGGTCACTTTTTAGACATTTTTTCCCCTTGATTAGGATGTTTAGACTTAAGAATAAACTGTCTGTTATGGGTAATTTGAACAATGAGTAGATACGAAAACTTCAGACTGCTTTCATCTCTGTAGGAGTAGTAAATTGAGAACCAATTTTTAATAGAATTCCTAGAAATTTTATAATGATGGAGGTTTTTTAACCTCTAGAAATAAACTAGTCTGTGAGTTGTGATTCAATGGTGCTAGTTTGTCAAAGAAAACATAACTCAGCATAAGTTCTCTGACTCTTGGCATTCCACTGTTTTCAATGCTGCATTTGAACATGTTTCTTTAAATAAAATTCTGGGGTCTCTTTGTGTTTTTGTGTGTTATGCTTGTTGTGACTTCCTTAGCTGTTTGCAGGAACAAGGTGGATATTGTTAAGCTGCTTGTTGCATTTCTAATTTCTGCACTTAATCTGTCCTGGGCCCCAGTCTGGGCAGGAGCAAGTAAACATTTCATTAATACTGAACTAGAAATCTTAATAGAATATTTGGGGCTTTTGTACCACATTGGAGTGGTAGCCTTCTGTCTAAGAGACTGCTTGTTTGCTGGAGAGCAAATAGGAAGAGAGAATCTGGAAGTTGAGCTGACTTTAGAAATTACATGAAGGGGACCTTTTGCCCAATGTAAGTAGCAAAGGCCCATAACTTTATGTTGAGGTAGGACCTCCTGGGATTGTGCCCCCACTGCCTCTTCTCCTGTCACTGGGCAGCACTGTGAATATGTCTCTTACAATTCCCTTCAGGTATTGATCTGCAGCAATGAAAAACTTGATCCTTCTCCAGTGCCACCAGAAGAGGTAAAGGAAGAAACAGGGCTGAGATCACTCTCACAAACCTTGGACCTGGCTGTGGAGATAAAGTAATAAGCAAACTGCATTACTGAAGTCGATTAATCATTACCTTTTGAAGTTTTACCTAATTTATGATTCAATTTGTAATTTCAAGTGGATTTATATTTGGATTAAGGTAACAGGTAACTACCTGAATAATGAAAAGAGGAATTGGTGGAAATTTATTTATCTTAGAATTGATAAATAGCCTTTTTATAGGGGTGCACTGATGAATTAGCTGTACTAACTGGGAAACACTGGTGTGAACAGTTGCACAGTTTAGTCAAGTGGTAGAGCAGGACTAAAAGCTGCTGCTTTAAGGAATGCAGCTTGAGATCTTGCTCTTGGCTTGAAACCGATGTAGGAGTGGGCTGTTTTGTTGTGTGCTAAACATGGTATTCAGAAACTGATGCTTAAACATGCTGAGCACTTCTACTGTGCTCAATGAAATCCGTGCAGTGCTTCCTCACCCCATCCAGCTCATTTTGCAGCGCAGTGCTGATGCTCCGTTTCTCCCTGTGCTCCCCTCTGTTCGTTCCATTTCTAGGAAGCCGTAACAGCTTTGGTCCAGCGCTCCTTGCCCACTGAGTGCCAGAGGGCCTGGCCTGAGCTGCCGTGCGCTGTCTGCATGAAAAGGGAGGGAAGGGCTCCGGGCGGGAATTCCCGGGGCCGGGCGGGAGCGGATCCCCGCAGCGCGGCGGGGCGGCGGCGCCCTCGCGTGGCGGCTCCGTGCGCTGCAGCGCGGCGTTGCGGGAGTTACAGCGGGAAGCAGGCTCTGGAAAAGGAAGAGTTAAAACCTGCTCAGCTGTAGATGGATTTCATCCCGCAGTTTGAGAAAAAGGCCTCCATCCCCCTGGTTTAAGTGAATAGGTGTCTCTGTGAGATGCTCAAACCCTTGTGGGATGAAGAAGGAGTAATGACAGCTGTGATGGCAATTTTGAAGTGAGTCATTCATGTTGTTGAACACAGGTGTATTCTACAGATATTTTGCTAGCCTGTGTACTAAAATCAGCCCTACACTTTTCAGCAGAGTTATTTTTGAAATTAGTAAAGCCTATTCTATATGGAAGTATAAAACAGAGTATTATTTTTTTCCTGTCAGGTTTGGTTCAGTTTGCTTGCCTTGCAGTTTTGTTCTTTCTCCCTTTTTAACACGAAAGTGGCTATGCTGCATGTGAGTACTATGACCTTATTCAAGCAGTTGAGATGTGAAGGAGTCTGAACTTTGTACATTTCCTTCAAACTGAAATCAAACACCATTAAGCTTCTTGTTTCCAAATGTTAGATAATAAACCTTCTTCTTGTGGAGAGTGTTGGTGGATTCTTAGAGTCCTGCTCGTCCCGGGTCTGGAGCGGGATGTCCCTGCAGCCTCCCCTGCCGGGCCAGGGCTCCCAGTGATGGTCTGGATTTTGGACAACAGTTCCCAAAGAAGAAGCCATATCCCCAGGAAAACTTCCTGCCTCAGCGAACAAACAAGAGCTAGCTAAAAGCAAAGACACAACTCTCCTGGCCTCACAGCAGAGAGAGACGGGAAGTCTGTGAGATCTGAAGACAAACTGGGTGTTGAGGAATTTCCCTGGCTTCCCCCTCCCAGCCCTAAGTTACAGGACCCGTGTGTGGGCATAAAGCCCACGGTAGGGGCTACAATGTCAGCATCACCCCGGGACACAGTCTTACAGATTTGTAATGTGTCTTACAGATGCCATTGTAGAATGGTCATGGGAAGATGTGAGAGGGGAAAGTTTGAGCAGAATTTGTTGCTGTAGGTCCTTCCAAAACAGGATATGTAGGATAAAAGATGAGAAATAGATAGCAATTAGAAAATGTGGCTTTTTGCATCCTCCTTTCCTGGAGCAGGTACAGAGGCAGTGATTTGAAGCTATTCTTAACCAGGAGATTGAGGACCAACAGCTACAGCAGCTGCAGGGGTGCCTGCAGGGTGTATGTGTGAGTGCTGGGGTGTATGCAGCAGTGGCTGAAGTCACTGGAAGGTTAAAGGAGCTAGGGCCAACTACTGGACACACTGAGGGCTGTCTTACTCATGGTTGGACCTGTGTAGGCACAGCTGCAGGTACTGGATAGGCCCAAACAATTTTCTCATCCAAAGTAGAATGATCTAAGAAGGGATTTGGCAGATTTGGATGATGAGAGTGATGACTGTAGTACTGTTTCATCTTTTTAGAAGTCTGTCACCAAAAGTGGTGAGTAGCAGAGATGGAATCAAGTCTGGTTCCTGATGAATCAGTATTGATCACTGGTTGCTAATTTCGTTTTCCTTTTTGAACTGATTGCATACTGAGCAATTCCAGTTATAACAGACTTTTGACCAATTCAGTGTTTTTTTAAAAAAACCAAAACTTCAATTACCAAACCTTTGTAAGTAACAGACTACAGTGCTTTTCTGCTTTGCTCATACATGCTTAACTCAGGCATATCTTGAAGGATGATTAATAGCTACTGTCATTTTTAGCTGTCAAGTGGGCAACAATAATGGCTTGAGTCCTATCTCAAGCACCAGAGAGGTGTCTTTTTGCTTAAACTTCTTCCCAGGGGGATTAAATAATGTCCATGATTATGTAATAGGACTGGTGTAAGATGACATTTGTCAGCAATTAGTGAGCTCTCAGCTGTGTTCCTAACCCTTTAGCTATGAACCCAGCATTAAGTAGGTTTAGGGAGAGTTTTACATGTTAATATTTAACTTGAGTCTGCAATCTGGTAATTGGGGTTTTGGTAAGAAGGAGCACTGCATCTTGTTGAAGAGAGATAAAAACTTCTGCTTTTAAGGTGGGACTGGAAGCAGGCTGTGCTGGTCTGGTGTTTATAAGGAGCAGGCATCCAGCTTAAACACAGATAGATGAGGGCTCATTAGCTGTAAGGGCTTGTGAATCTTTGCTGCTTCTGATTGGCATAGAATGGAAGGTAATTGTCCCAGCAGGACCCATGTGTCCTGGTATCCATGTGAAACCACTGGATTTGACTGCATCTCACCTTTCCACAAAGGACTGACCACTTACCATCCGTAATTTTCCTAAAGCACTTTGGTGGGACACAGACTTTCACTTTGCCCGTTTTGCCAGGAGGAAAGCTTCCTGCAAATCCTGGAAGCCAATGGCAGGAGGGAAAGCAGCCTTTCTGTGTTCTCGAGAGCTCCTTGTGTGCTCCTTGTGCCCTTGGCTGGAGCTGCTGGAGCCGTGGGGTGCTGCAGTGGCTGCAGCCCTGCGCCTTCCCTGCCGCAGGTTAGATCCCATGCCTTTGCTCCTGCTCTGTAGCTGTTGCCCTTTTCACTGCTGCCATCCCCTGATATTTGCGGAGCAACACTGAAAAACGCTGCCTGTGGCCTTGCCCGTAACTCGGCACACACACAGTTTTAATAGCGGTTTGCTGACCTTGGCCGTCATTGATGGTTTCAATTTTAATTAGAGGTCTCACGCAGTGTTCCTTCCTAAACATCAGATGACAATGCAAATGCTACACCTTGGGGTTTTTTTGGTTTTTTCTTTTTTTTTTTTTGGTCAGGGAAATAGACACCTTTTTTGTGTACCATTTGTTTTGGATGCAAAAAGTCGAATTT